GAATGCAGAAATCAGAAGGGGTTGGTTGGGTTCTTGTTGGATCCTCTTGTTAAGATGCTATTGAGCCTTTTTATCCATAGGTTGTCTCCCAACAATTGCATCTCTCACAGCAGCCTGAGTGGAATTACCAATGTGAGAAGAAGCCTGCAAAAGTCCACGAGGCAACATGTAAGTTAAGGAAATACAGCCCAGCAGCAACAGAATACGTCCTTGGAGATCAACTTTCAAAAATTTCTGTCTACATCATCAGTATGTTACAGAAAACAGGGGAATGAAAATGTGGGGGAGAGGAGCCTGTGACAGCAGCTACCTCCCAGGAGAGTCAGCTGACCCTTTGCTTCGTTACTGTGTTATCAGAGGCTTGCCAAATGCTTATTCCTTTAGTAGAAAAAATATTTTCACTCAGGAAGCTAGAGTCTGGGATTAACATTGTAAAAATAATTTGTTTCCCTTCACAAGCCTCTAATTTAACTGAGCTGTTCAAGCAACTCAGAAAAAGAAACCAGAGCCTCGAGGATCTATTAACCTAGAGATCATGTCAATGTCAAAAGCCACTGGCTTTTGGAAGATTTCAAGGGGAAAAAATGCCATCCATTAATAAGATTTAAAACAAAAAATTTGTTAAGTTCATATTTTTCAAAGCTCTTGATTTTTAATAAAGCAAATTAATCTTGGATGAGGGAAAGAATCACACAGGAATTGTGTCTGACAAACATATAGTTAAAAGTTTCCCGCAAGGAACACAATTGTGTCTAAGCTGAAAAACTTTCTGCACTGAAGGATAATCATTGGACATGAAAACAAAATATCAAAATTAAACATTAATATCCTTAAAAAGGATAATAAACATAATGCTCATCAGAAAAAAAAAGTCAAGGAAATTTTCTCATGCCTTCTTTCACAGGAAGCTCTGCCAAGTGGAGATACTTTATAAAAGAAACACAGTATCTTTATATAAGAAACACAATGTCCATTGTCAACCCTCCCACTCCCAGCGGGCAGCACTTACCTGCTCTAGTACATATGCTGCTCCAGAATCGATAGCTCCGCCCAGCTCACGATACTGACCAGAGTACCTGATGTACCCCCAAGTGAGAAGCGCTATTAACAGCAGCCCAACTATACAGTTGAACAGCTGGGCCACAACCTCCAGACCAATGAAGCCAGTGAGGCCCGAGGCGATGTACAAAGCCACGATGCCGGTGAAGAGCACCGCGGGGGTTCGGAAGGTGCTGAAGATGTTCTTGCTGCCGTTGTGCTTGCAGAAGTTCTCATAGAGTTCCTTGATTTCCTCCTCCAGCTCCTGCTGGTAGCGAAGGCTGAAATCCTTCCCGCCCATCTTCTTGGTCTTCTTAAAATGGTCCAGAGCAAGCTGTCTGAATTCACAGTGCTTCTCCTCTAGAATGTCTGGAGACAAATAAGGTTTCTCTCCCCCACACACCTAAAAAATAAAGAAAAAGATGCAATGTGTTGAAGATCCCTTTAAAAACAAGTGACAAATGAAATTTATAAAGTGAAAACGCCGAAAAGCGGAGGCTATGTTGGTATTAGAAATTAACTGTAAATGGTGACCAAGGCCAGCAGAGAGAGAACACTTAAGCTCCGGGGCCCTGGTCCCGGTGAGAGCATCGACACAGCAGGAGCCGTGGCTAGAAAGCTGACAGCAGGCCCTCGTTCCCAGGCGGCCCGGGTACAGCTGTGTTCCCTCGGTATCTTAAGACAGTAAAAAGGATCAAGTTTGGGCTTTTAAAGTCAGCAACCATGTCCAGGTTATAGATATTCAGAATAAGACATACACCCAACATACCTCTTCCATGTTGTTGTAATAAATGTCCTTGGCAGAGGCTGCAGCTGCTAAATTGTTGGCTTCAGCAGTGGCCTTGAAGAAAGGAAAGCATAAGCTGTAAGTCCTTCCTCTTTTAATATTCTTCGACAAATAACCACGTAAAATTTTTCTCACACCTTAGTCACCATTCTTTCTTTCTTATTATGCTTCTGCTATTTTTTAGGTTTCCATATAGCCCAGTTTATTAAATAAAATACATCTTTTCTGCCAAAAATGTTCCCACACATAAGAACCTTTATCATAAACTGAACCTCTCCAAAATCATTTCCTTTGCTTCAATTTTTACTTATTGATTTGAGAGAGAGAGAAAGGAAGAGGGTGTGTGAAAAACATCAATGTGTTGTTCCACTTATTTATGCATTCACTGGTTAATTCTTGTATGTGCCCTGATGGGAGATTGAACCCAAAACCTTGGTGTATCAGAACGATGCTCTTACTAACTGAGCTACCTAGCCAGGGCCCTTTGCTTTAATTTTAAATGTTAAAAAACAGATGTAAGTCAAAAAAGAAGGGAAACAGCCCAGCCAGCGTGGTTCAGTGGTTGAGCGTCGACCTATGAACCTGGAGGTCATGGTCTGATTCCTAGTCAGGGCATATGCCCAGGTTGCTGGCTCAATCCCTAGTGAGGGGGATAAGGGAGGGCGTGTGCAGAAGGTGGCCGATCCATGATTCTCTCTCATGACTGATGTTTCTCTCTCTCTCCCTTCCTCTCAGAAATCGATAAAAATATATTTATTTTTTAAAAAAAGAAGGGAGAGCCCTAACCGGTTTGGTTCAGTGGATAGAGCGTCAACCTGCGGACTGAAGGATCCCAAGTTCAATTCTGGTCAAGGGCATGTACCTTGGTTGCAGGCACATACCCAGTAGGGGGTGTGCAGGAGGCAGCTGATCGATGTTTCTCTCTCATCGATGTTTCTAACTCTCTATCCCTCTCCCTTCCTCTCTGTAAAAAATCAATAAAAATATATTAAAAAAAAAAAAGAAGGGAGACAAATTACCTTTACAATGTCAATCCCAAACTCTAAATTCCTGAGTGGAAAGATTTTTTTCTACTAAAGGAATAAACATTTGGCAATAAATGGCCTTACATTCAGTACATGAAAATCAGAATCATGTTTTAACAAAACAAGACTTTGAAAATACCAAAATGTTGAAAATAAAACTCATTGGAAATTAAATGCTGACTCATCAGTAAGTAGACACATTAGGACATGCTCTAGTAAAGCAGACAGCAGGAAACAGGAAAATGGCCTGTCCACACAGCTGGGGGTGTCTCCCTGGGGACAGCAGGCAGGGGAGTCACAGTATGTTTGGTGGGAAGACCAGGCCCAGTGAGAGGACGTGCTGTTTAAGCTGAACCACCAAGAACACAGATAAGAAAACCAGAAGGCAACCACACTGCTGGAATGTGCTGGAAATTAAGAGCTCAGCATAACGGGAAAGGAGAGCAACAGCACCGTCTTCTTAAAGGACTCTGCTTACGGATCCGGATCAACTCACGAAATCGAAGCTATCACTGAGGCTGTCCAACAACTGCGTACCTGAAGCATGGATTTGGGGTGAGGCAGATCTTCTCCTTGGTAAATTTTAATATATGCCTGAAAATATAAACATAAAAATAATTACCAAAAATGTCATTCTGTCATAATTAATCATACTTGTAATTGTAGGACCAGTAACCAAACAACTTAATTTTCCTAAAGACCTAGATCAACACCCAGGAATTAGCAAGAACACAACACACCTTGTGCACGTTAGCGTTTTTAGTTCACTGAAAATGGTCTCAAGCAGCAGAAGCCTGCCAAGGCTAAGATCCCCGCCAGACTCCCCACGCACACTGGCCTCACCACTACCTGTGGGCAGAGTGACCATCCGCCTTGAGGTAGTCATGTCACATTTAGGTGCCGTCTCCCACTCACAGCAACATCCTAACCACCTCCTGTCCACACCATCTTCCTGGAGGAACAATCTTCCTTTAGCCACAGTCATCACTCTAAGAGAGTGCAAAGAACATCCATTTGGTTCTTAGACCGAGACTGCCATCCAGTGGCCCATTCCTGGAAGGACACTGAAGTCTGAAAATGCCTCTCATCATTTCTCCCCTGAAACTTTTCCCTAAGCTTTAAAATACCGAAATTCAAATTAGTTTAAACCTAGACCAGTTTTACCAAAAGCCCAACATTTTAATAATTAAAGCCCATAATTACCTTAAAATACTCCAACAGCCCCCGACAGGTGACTTTTGAGCCATTGATCTCCTTTTCCATTAAGTTTGCTGGGTTTAATATATACGGAATCAGTATCTGTAACTGCTCTTTGAATTCACTGGCAATATCTGTTCACAGGACCATGAAGAAGGAAACAATAAGGCAAACAGACTTCAACCACGGTAAGCACAAAACAAATGTCTACATGTCTTAACATATGCTAGTCAAAGTGGAGGGCAGGGTCCCAGGGCAGGTGTCTGACATTTTCGGCTCTGGCCAGAACAGCAGTCTGTTTTATGTGCCTTGGTTGTCCCCTTCCCTTCCGCAGTATTAAGACCTCCCTAATCGAGAAGAGAATATACAGAATATCCTTACCCTGGTTTTCATTCTGGGAGGTTCAGGTCTACTCCCTAGCCTTTCAAGAAATTTCACTTTTTTAAATCCTCACCAGAGGATACTTTTCCATTGATTTTTTTAGAGAGAGAGTGGAAGGGAGGGAGGAGGGGAGAGAGAAACATTGATGTGAGACACACTGACTGGCTGCCTCCCACATGCGACCTGACCTGAGCCTGGGATCAAGTCTGCAACCGAGATACATGTCCTTGACTGGAAATCAAACGCGAGCCTCTTTGGCCTGAGGGCCGATGTTCTAACCACTGAGCAACCGGCCAGGGCAAGAAATTTCACTTTTTTAAGAGTTTCATTAACCAGGTCTTCAAAAGATCAATTATCAACCCCTCAAGTCCTCAGACCAGGCCCTTGCTACATCCTCATGCTCCCCTTACTTTTTTAGAAATCACTGTTCACCCACGTCTTTGTTTTTGTTCATTTTTTCCTGGTAAAAGTAGTACAGGCACCTGTACTTCCTGATATTTATTTTCTAGCGCCTCCTTAGAGAGGCGCTCTGGGCCGCCCGAGGGAAAGCCTCCTGTCTCGGAAAGGTGACAGCTTCTCTGCAGTTTCTACAAAGTTCCCACGAGGACTCGGGAGAGCCATTAAACAGCTCTCTCCTCACGGTGAGAACTAGCTGGTCCAACTATGAAGACACGGGAGTCTGTTTCTATAATCTAACATCTTCCTGGGTTTCCAACCAACTCAGACTATCAACTGATAGTTATCACATCAAGGTAAGAACTCTTCAACACTCCAGAACCCTAATTTGTAAAATTGAAGTGTTATTTCATTTATTGATTCAACAGTTTTTGAGCACCTTTTTTGTGGCCGGCATTGTTGCAAGAGTTGGGGATAGAGCAGTGAATAAACAAAAGTGGTTTAGAAATTTTTCCAAATTACAAATATCACTATAAAAATCTCTATAAAGCCCTAGCCTGTGGGGCTCAGTGGATGGAGCATTGGCCTGCAGACTGAAGGGTCCCAGGTTTGATTCCAATCAGGGTACAGGCCCAGTTTCAGGCTCAATCCCCACAGGGCGCATGCAAGAGGCAGCCAATCAATGTTTACTTCTCACATTGAAGTTTCGCCCTCACAATGATGTTTCTCTCTATCCCTCTTGCTTCCTCTCTCTCAAAATCACCCAGTTAATCAATCAATAATAAAAGAATTCCACTGAACAACTCCCCTACTGGTGAGGAACAAGACCAGAGTTTAGGTGTGGTAAAAGTATGTCTAATAATGGAGTGTTATAACCCTAAAAGACACATCACCTACACACTCAACTTTCTTTCCATACTCAACTCTGAAAAGTCAATCACGACTGCTTTTTTTGGTTAAAAAAAAAAAATTCTAGTTCCAGTGTCGCCTAAGCAGATTTCTCTCCAAAAGCCAGGCCACAAACTTGGACTTTTTTTTTTAATATATTTTATTGATTTTTTACAGAGAAGAAGGGAGAGGGATAGAGAGTTAGAAACATCAATCAGCTGCCTCCTGCACACCTCCTACTGGGGATGTACCCACAGCCAAGGTACATGCCCTTGACCGGAATCGAACCTGGGACCCCCAGTCCGCAGGCCAACGCTCTAGCCACTGAGCAAACCGGTCAGGGCAAACTCAGACTTCTGAGATGCCATCTAAAGGCTCCAGAAGTCTGCTCAGGAAGCTGCCACTACATAACATCATACAGATGGCGAATAGAAGGTGAAGGTAAGTCTCTCAAACTCAGTTTCTTTTGTAACATTACAATCAGCTGGAACATAAATCTTAAGCAAGTACATTAACTTTCTTGCGTCGAATGAGTCAAGTTCTCTTGGTAACTAAGCAGTACATGTCACCTAAATTGCTTCCCCACGTAACGGAAGTCGTTTCTGCTTCAGCACAGTATGGATTTGGGTTAAGAAGAATCAGGATGTGAATCTCTGTCTCACCACTTAGCTGTGTACACTGAACAAGTTACTTAACTTTCCTAAACCAGTGTCTTCATCTATACAATAAGGAAAATATCAGTTTCATGGAATTACTGGAAGCATTAAGTGCGAAAGTAACCAGTATTGTGTTGGTGCTATGGTCTGAATATTTTGTCCCCCCTCCCCTTGTTGGAATCATATGGGACCCCCATCCTAACCCCTAAAGGTGATGGTATTAGGAGGTGGGGCCTTTGAGAGGTGAGGAGGTCATGAGGGTGGAGCCCTCATGTATGGGATTAGTGCCCTTATAAAAGAGATTCCCCCAGAGCTCGCCAGCCCCTTCCAACATGTGAATATACAACCTGAGGCCAGGAAGATAACCCTTTACACACCATGCTGGCACACTAATCTTGGGCTTCCAGCCTCCAGAATGACAGGAAATAAATTTCTGTTGTTCATAAGCTACCGAGTCTATGGTATTTTGTTATAGCAGCCCAAACAGACTAAGACAGTTGGGAATATGACTGGATATCTAAAATTGGTGACTGCTATTATTTCTACTTTACTGGGAACCTAAGAAGCTCAGATAAGTTTATAAACAAAAGTGCTTAGTTTCTAACACATGGGGAAACTGATGTCTAGCCATTAAATGACTCAAGGTCTCAAAGAACAAAAATAAGATAATGGAACCCATGAGTCCCAACTCTGATTTCTCTAAGCTACTATTTAGTCAGCACTTCCTGATATTAACAAATGACTCAGCATCAGGTTTTTTTATAATCACAAATAAAATGAAAACAATAGCCATGCCACACATTGTGTTATCTTTTTGGGGGAAGTTAATTTTACTTGATAAACATTAGCTGACTAATGTTTAGTCTTCTTTTACTTAGCATTTTCATTTTTATAAACCAAGAACCATAACATGTCTCTTAGAAAGATCATTAATGGATATTGCCAACACCATTTCAGATGGAGAAATTAAGATGAGCTAATTCTAATTCTGATGGTCACAGTAAGGCAAGAGCAAAAACTGACCCAGACTCCAAATACTATTCTTTCTTAGAGAACATACTATTTCTCTTAAGCATTCACCAGATTCTTTCTTTCTTTTTTAATATTTGTATTGATTTCAGAGAGGAAGGGAAAGGGAGAGAGATAGAAACATCAATGATGAGAAAGAATCATTGACTGGCTGCCTCCTATACACCCGCCCTCGCACCCTGGAGATTGAGCCCGAAACCCAGGCATGTGCCCTTGACCAGAATTGAACCTGCGACCCTTCAGTCCGCAGGCTGACGCTCTATCCAGTGAGCCAAACAGGCTAGGGCAGCACCAGATCCTTAATTGACATTTTCTGGTCACTATTTAATTCCAAAGATCAAATCACATTTAAAATAACATCATTTGTAACACACCTTTCAATTTCCCATCAAACTCAGGGCTTGTGGCCACCTGGAGTCCTGGATGTGGCAGAAGAAAACAGGAGACGCTCGAGAAACATGAGTGAATGTGATTTCGGACATTCTGGATTTCTTCATGCTGATGTTCTTTCACCTGCCAATGAAGATCCACAATTTACAAAAGACCATTTGTTTCTCTTCACAGGAACCACTGGTGTAAGACAAAGGAAAGAAGACTTCCCAACTCTGATGGGTCATAGTGGCCTATGTTTTTTCCAATAAGAAAACACAGAACCCTAAGAAGCAATAAATGGCCAGGTTGTGGGCTTGATCCCCAGTGTGGGGTGTACAGGAGGCAGCCTATCAATGATTCTCTCTCATCATTGATGTTTCTATTTCTCTCTCCCTCTCCCTTCCTCTCTTAGATCAATAAAAACATATTTAAAAAAAAAAAACACATAAGAATTTTGAACAAGAAGAACAGACCGAAGTTCTGAATGTGACATTCTAAAGACACATGTAGAACCTGACGTACAATGTGAAACGAAATTACAATCAAAGCTGGGGCTTTTGCCCGGAGTTCTTCTCCACAATCCCTGTGCACTGGATACCCAGGTTCTTCAAAACATGAATAATATTAGTGTGTTAACATGCACAAGTATTTAACAAACTTAATATAATTTTCTGTAATCTGCTTAAAATACAACAGCTAAGCCAAATGGGAAAGTTATCACTGCTTTTAGGTAATTCCCATATTATATTTCTACTTACCTGTAGACGCTTATCCAAAAATGACATTCCTCCCTGTAGTCCATAGCTGTATTCATAAGGGAAACTCCAGTCTCTAACCAAAAACATCAGTGTCTATTTGGGAAAAGAGCAGCACACATTATAATGTTGCATAAATGCATTTTCAAAATTACAATTTAAGTACTCCTTTGCACAATGCCAGCTTCTTTAAAGGGGACACGAAAATGTATTGAAGGATTGAGCTATTCTGTGATGTCTCTGAAACCTTATAAACAAGTGTGCCAAAGGCAAGGATGGGGCGTACAGTATGGCACTAGCTAGTCATACATCAGATCTACTTTCCACATTAGAATGGAAAGGAAAACAAATAATACGCAACGCTCCTCTAATCTTACTCAAGTTACTATACATTCCCGTCCTCATGAAATAATTAGCTAAAACAAAGGTCAGTAAACTTTTTCTGTGAATGGCCAGAGAGTAAATATTTTAGGCCACTGTAGCACAAGACAGCCATGAGCAATACAAATAAGTATAACTGTGTTCCAAATAAAACCTTATAGACACTGACATTAAAATTTCAGATAATTTACATGTTATAGAATAGTATTCCTCTTTTGATTTCTTTCAACCATTCAAAAATGTAAAAACCATTCCTAACTCATAGGTCACATAAAAATAGGCAGCTGGCCAGAGCTGGCCTGTGAGCTGCAGTTTGCTGATCTCTGAACTAAAATAAACATTTGAATGGCATTTATAGTGAACATTCTACCTGGAAGGGTTTTTGGAAAATTTCATCCATTGCCAGACGACCATATTCTGTGAAGAGCTTAAAAAAAAAGAAGAAGAAGAGTTATGGCTTGTAAGGCAAAATTAAAGTATTTCTGTGGCAATTTTTTGGGGGGTGTCCCTCAGAGCTCAGGAGACGCAGGCGTGTGGGGGTGAAGTGGGGGAAGGGAAAGGCGCAGACACCCTGGGAGGGAGGGCCTTCTGTGGCTATTCTTTATCGAAGCATTCATTTAACAGACCTGACTCCCCTTATATGAAACCAAAGTTCTACAATTAATTTCAAAGCCCACAGGAGCCATGAACCTTAAAATAATCCTGGATCTGTCTTACATCCCAATTCATTAGCAAATCCAGAATCCTTGGTTGCGGGCACATTCCGGGTGGGAGATGTGCAGGAGGCAGCTGATTGATGTTTCTCTCTCATCGATGTTTCTAACTCTCTCTCTCCCTTCCTCTCTATAAAAAATCAATTAAATATATTTTTAAAAAAATAAGTTAGTTAGATCACACCCAGCCTCTGCTCAAAACCCTAAACCACATTCAGTATAAAAGGCCAGGCCTTATACTGTGATGCCACCATGCTGGCCCTCCTTGATGTTCTTCAAATGTGCTGGGCACACAGCTGCTTTAGGGTCTCTGTTCTGACTTCTCCTCCTACCTATAACGTTCTTCCCCTAAATAGCTGTGCAATCAGGTCCCGCATTTCTTAATTTTTGTTGTTGTCGCTAATCCTCACCCATGTATATTTTTTCCACTGATTTTGAGAGAGAGGAAAGGAGAGAGAGAAGGAGGGAGGAGAGAGAAAAAAAAATCAATGTGAGAGAGATACATTGATTGATTGCCTCCCGAATGCTCCCCAACCAGGGCCAGGGATCAAACCTGCAACCCAGGTACATGTTCTTGACCAGGAATCAAACCAGCAGCCCTTGTGTGTGCAGACTGATGCTATCACTACTGAGCAACCAGCCAGGGCGGGTCCCTCATTTCTTAAGGTCTTTACTCAAATGGCTCCTCCTCAATGAAGCCTTCCACCACCACTTACCGAAAAGATTACAATTCTCCACACAATGGTTCCTACCCATGCCTCTTTTTAAAAATATATTTTTTTTTATTGATTTTTATACAGAGAGGAAGGGAGAGGGATAGAGAGTGAGAAACATCGATCAGCTGCCTCCTGCACACACCCTACTGGGGATGTGCCTGCAACCAAGGTACATGCCCTTGACCGGACTCGAACCTGGGACCCTTGAGTCCGCAGGCCGACGCTCTATCCACTGAGCCAAACCGGTCAGGGCTACCCATGCCTCTTTTTAATTTTTCTCCTTAACATGTCCCACTATCTAACATACTATTACCTGTATAGTATTTATCTTGATCAATGTTTGTCTTCACTACTAGCACTGAAACTCCAAGAGCAGGAA